TAACTTTTATTTATTTTGTGTAAGTTAATTTGCATAGTCGCTTTTAAATGTGAAAGAAATATAAGCAAACTGTAATGAGGTTTCAGTAGCTAGATCTAGATATATTTTATTTGGAATTCCCGTGTAAAAAGTTGCTGGGTCTGACTCTCAGATTGTTTCATGCGGATGTGACATTTCAATGCAAGTCAAAATAGTTTCCATTCGGCAACTTCACAACATACCTGCACAAAACAGTCGTAAACTGTATGGGTATGTGTTCATTGTGGTACTGAACTTAACGTCTTTGTAATGCCATTTGGTAGTTTCTTGGCAGTTTCGTTGCAAGTAAACAAACACTTCGAGAAGTTGTGCCATGTGCAAGTTCGCCACGTGGTTTACTATAATTAGATTCGCTCGCGCAGTAGATGTCAGCTGACCGAAGGCTAACTCCTCCCACTTCTGTTGTGCAAAGTTGTTTCACAGACGACTGGATTTTTTACAACCAAACATCAGATCGAATGTAATATTTTTTTATATCGTGTGACTTTTGTTACATTGAGTGGTGTAGGGCAAATCTGTCTGCCAGGATTTGGATGTGAATGTTGTCTCGTTCTTTAGTTATTCAAGATTTTGGATCACCGATTACTGGCTGACCGATCATCGCAACGTCTGTCAAACACTAAGATCTCGCAAAATACCGCGCTATTTATAGTCCGGTTGGGACTTTAACTACCATAAAACGCTCATTAGGTCTCCAAACTCGATTCCTTAGATTATGGCAGTCGAGAGTGAACCTCGATTCGTAAGAACACTTGGCATTAACCGAACGTCGATCTCAACACCATCGAATTTCAGTAAGTTGTGGGGTGACACATGCTAGTTGTGCACGCATATGTCATCTGTGCAGACGATTTCGCACCGTTTGGGCATGTACTCTAACACCCGATACCCTTATGAGTGGCGATCATCGACGTCATGTGTTTGTTGGTATCGGGCCAACATTATGCTGATGACAAGATTGAGAAACGTGCAGCGTTTGGCCAACAATATTCTGACGTGTGCACACCTGCAACATGCCTATGGCACGGAAACGTTCAGCACCTTGCAAACGTCGCATGATCAATGCTGTTGCTGCCTTAATGATTAAATGTGTTTAACAAAGTTCCTTTGTTTCCACGAAAACAAGTATGCGTCTGCTCACAACCGAGTCTTCTGAGTGACAATAGTAAATCTCGGATACCACCCCTTCCACGCGCTGACTGAGGTCACGTGGGCATTCTTCATGACTGCCACAATGTTGTGTTTTGGATCTTGATTTCGTTCTCAATCTTCTTGCCACGTAAATCAGATACTTTCATTGCCTTTTTTCTTGTAGTTTCACCTCAACACAAAATATCCCCTACCTTTTTTTATAGGATATATAAACATATTCCGTTTGCCTCAAAAGGCAAAATAGGGATAAACATTACTAGTATATGAATGGATCACTGAAAATCAATTTGGTGTTATTGTTTAACGCCGCACTAAGCAATATAACAGCTATATGACGGCGCTCTGTAAATAATCGAGTGTAGGCCAGATAATCCAGTGATTAATATCATGAGCATCGATCCACGCAATTGGGATCAATGACATGCATCAACCAAATCGGCGAGCCTGACCACCCGATCCCGTTAGTCGCCTCTTACATAGTCGCCTTGTACAGATTGGGTTGCTGAAGACCTATTCTTCCCCAGATCTTTACGGCAAGCATGGGTTGCTGAAGACCTGTTCTACCCCAGATCTTCACGGCAAGCATGGGTTGCTGAAGACCTATTCTCCCCCAGATCTTCACGGCAAGCATGGGTTGCTGAAGACCTGTTCTACCCCGGATATTCACGGGTCCTGAAAATCAGTGATGATGCCAGGTAAACGCGAAAAGGGCAAGCAAGCCCTGCTCCAACGGTAGCCCCCTAACATTTATTTGGTTGGTTTAAACAAGGGATCCTATGAGAAAACCAAGAGGGCATTAAGGGCCCACAAGAATATGGAATGGGGATATGTCGTCACAAACTTTACAAATTATTGAATGTCTGTTCAAATTGTTAAGAGTTTGATTTACTTGATAAACCAATCTCATTAAAATCAGATCTTAGTTCTCGCTACCGCTTTGTTTTGCGGTAGCGTACGGAAGCCTTTTAAGGCCATTTATTTTGTTTTCGATACTATCTTGAAATTTCAAGATACTAAGTTGAAATTTCAAGATATGTATCGAAAAAAGCCGAAAAAACAATGGCCCTAAAAGGCTTCCGTATCAGCGAGAACTAAGATCTGATTTTAATGAGATTGCTTGATAAACCTTCTCAGTGTCAAGGAAACAATACATGCTGATTATTGTAACACCGGGAACCCTGATTAATGCAGCTAGCTGTGCAATAGAGGCAGAATCAACTCCACTCTAGCAATATATATACAGTCACTGCTTTTATTATTCGAATCATTATTTAACAAAAGTTTTTATGTATTATGTCAGTCATAGACGAATGATGTGATTACGGTCACAATCACGGAACTTGCCCTTTTTATCAATCAGTGCACAATTTTCATTATTTTCAAGCTTTTCTATCGGCTTCTTCACTCGTATGATGCCCAACCAGTTAACATGCCATTGAAACACACACAATATGAATCCTACAAAAATAACCGAAATTTTAAATAAACAAGAGTAAAAGTGAGCGTGGCTCACTAATACCCCCCGACCCGCCTAGTGTATCAGTAGTTTCAAATTAAATAATAGATAGGGTTAGGGTTTGAACAATTCATAAAAAAATGGAAAATTAATAAAAACATTTTTTTTCTTTTGACTGCACCCCTCCATTTGATACAGATTATATGTACTAAGTTTGAGATGAATCCACTGAATAGTTTAAGAGAAATCGCGCGGATAAAGTTTTCGGACGGACGTTAGGGTTTGAAAAATTCATTAAAAAAATGGAAAATTAATAAAAACATTTTTTTTCTTTTGACTGCACCCCTCCATATGACACAGATTATATGTACTAAGTTTGAGATGAATCCATTGAATAGTTTAAGAGAAATCGCGCGGACAAAGTTTTCGGACGGACACGCGGACGGACTTCCCCTTGGTATAGCTATATACCCCCGACCTTTTAGGCGGGGATATAGTAAATAATTCTCACTTTAATCGTTCTTGTGACTACATGTACAAAAGGTTGTTAAACCAAACCTGAAATGTCTAAATGCAATAGATTAAAAATCGTAGAGAAATAAATGAGTTTATATTAATATTTGATGGGGAAAATGTTTTTTCCCTAAACGTTTGGTATTTTTACCGCATAATTCGTCTTGGACTGATGTGTGGTGATTAATGCACAAAGGTCAAAACTTTTAGCTCATGGTCATGTGAATCCAATTTCAGATTCTATGAATTTTCATTGCAATATATCTGGCGTAATGATAGTTGTCGAGTCTCCTTCCTGTTCTGCTGAACCGACGAGTTCATCACGTGTAGAGCAGCACCGACGTCCCCGTCGTTGGAGCTTACAGTTACTTGCGGTGCCGTATATTTTGAAGGGTAAAGATGACAGGCTGTCGCGAAAGTCCTCGAGCCTGACTGCCCGACGATCCAATAGTTGTTGGTTGGTTTGTTGTTTTACGCCGCACTCAGCAATATTCCAGCTATATGACGGCGGTCTGTAAATAAACGAGTCAGGACCAGACAATCCAGTAATTAATCTCATGAGCATCGATCAACGCAATTGGGATCGATGACATGCATCAACTAAGTCTGCCAGCCTGACCACCAGACCCCGTTTGTCGCCTTTTACGACAAGCATAGTCACCTTTTACGGCAAGCATGGGTTGCTGAAGACCTATTCTAACCCGGTATCTTCACGGGTCCGACGATCCACTTAGTTGCTGTTTGACCAGCACAGGTTGGTAGGGACCTACTCTAACCCGGAAACCAATAAGTCACATTTGTGCTTTGTTTTGTTTGTTGTTCAAAGCTTCACTCAGCATTATTCCAGCTATATGACGGTGGTCTGTAAATAATCGAGTCTGCATCAGGCAATGCAGTGATTAATATCATGAGCATCTGTCCACACCATTGGGATACGATGACATGCATCTACCAATTCATCGAGCCCGACCACCCGACCCCGTTAGTCGCCTCTTTCGACTAGCATAGTCGCATTTGTGCCCTGTTGCGGCGGGATAATGGTATTTACTTTTACCAAGAAACCCTGGCTATTAACATACACATATGTGTTGAGTTTCTTTATACTTGTTTACTATTTTCATTGGAGGGACTTGTTTACGTCGCTTTCACAATATCCCTAAATCACTGGATCGTCTGGTTCAGACTCAACTATTTACAGACCGCCGTGACATAACCTGAATATTGCCGAGTGTGGCAAACAAACCAACAAAATTTAATGGTAAACCTTGTTTATGAGGGTTGCATTGCCCTCAGTGAAGTTACTGCGAGGACACCTGACATGTATTGCTTTTTAATATAGTGAATGAGTGAATATGGTTTTACGCCGGTTTTAGTAAATTAAATTAATATTCCAGCAGTGTCACGGCGGGGACGCCAGAAATGGGCTTCACACATTGTACCCATGTGGGGAATCTAGCCTGGGTCTTTGGTGTGACGATCGAACGCTTTATCCTCTAGGCTACCACACCGCCCGTTTTTCATTTTAAAGTCAGTGGTTACGTTTCCGCATTCAAATCTGTTACAGTAATATTTTAGCTACATTTCCTTGACAAATGACACGCGCAACTTTGGATAACGAGTTTCCACTATATGGACCTGTCGGGGCTTTAACAGAATATAAAATCAGGCAGTACATCCGAAACTGAATCTGAAAACGATTAAACAGGTAGGACAGAAATATGTACTGGTCAGCTAAAGTGTATTTAAAACGAGGACATGTTTTAATACAATGACAAAGGATCATGTGCATAATTACCGTTGTCGAATACGACACGTGCATGTGGTATTTCAATTAGCTCACCTGAACATGTTGAAAATGATGACTCCCAGGACACAGAGAATAATAGACAAGGAGTACCCGGAAATATACACCATGATGACATCTCTCTCTTCCTGAAAAGGATATAAATAACAATGTAAATAATTATTATTATGTTAATGACGAGTCGCTATATGGCTGAGATAATTGCCGATGCGACGTTACATTTTAACTCACTCACTGTTAATGTCGATAATAAAATGCACTGTGGATCCTTACTACAATATCTAAAGTCTAGACATTACGCCGTAAACGACGTTTGTAGCCCACCTGATAAATCTTCCTGAAATCCTTGGTTTGTGAAGTCGAAGTTATGTGTAATTGAGCCTGACATTTTGTGCCATTAAACATTAATAACAGAAGGTCTGTCCAATGATAAACAAGGGTGAGATCATTCACATATGTTGATTGGTTGGTTGGTTGGTTGGTTAATCCGGGGAAGCATAGGTCTTCAGCAACCCATGCTTGCCGTAAAAGGCGACTACCGGGATCGGGTGGTCAGGCTCGCTGACTTGGTTGATGCATGTCATCGATCTCAATTGCCTGGATCGATGCTCATTATATTAATCACTTGATTGCTTGGTCCAGACTCGACTATTTACAGACCGCTGTCATATAGCTGGAATATTGCTGAGTGTGGCGTTAAACAAGAAACAAGATAATGACAGTGGGCCCCGTCACTCGAAGATTAAAGCATGTGTCAATATATGATGAGGTTATACAGCAAGCACGTTCGTTTCTTTAGTTTTATTTTAACCCGGTGATACAGTTTGGTCCAACTTGAATTTTATGATACAGATTCATAGAACGGTGCCAACTTGTATGTGCATATTTACGGCTGGCTCAGCTACGCCCTTTAGACGTGTCCAGAACATGTTATAGTGGGTTCCATTTCCACTTCATCACTGTATAAATGTTTCTAGGTTCATCGGAACCATACCAGAGCACGTGAACGTCAAAGACCTGGATCACTTACAGCTTTCCTCCCACAAGCTGAAATACCGTTAGCCTTGATATTGCTGGAATATTGCTAAAAGCGGCGTAAAAACCATACTCACTCACTGAAACGCCCTTAAGTCACTTACTATCTTCAATGCCTTGCCTGGCGTTTCCAACATCGCAAGAACGCCAACAAGATAAAACAGGTTTACTGTCCTCACAAATCCATTTCAATACGCTTGTCTAGTTACATGTGGGAGCACGAGTGGCCCAGTCGTCTCAGGCGCTGCGATTCGCTGTGCAGAGTTGCGTCCATTGGGCACGTCAGAAACCTATGATTGCGTGTGCGAATCCCGGTGTCGCTCCGATTATGTTTCTAGGTTTGTCAACACTATACCCGTGCTCGTGGGTTTCAACAAAGTGGTAAATGTCAGAGACCTCAATCACTTTGGGCTTTCCTCCAACATTAGGCTGACACGCCGTGATATAACTGCAGTAATGTTTAAAGCGGCGTTAAACCCAACTCAATCACTCTAGTTACAGGTAATATTTCCTCGCAGACACGATTCTGAGCGATGAAGGGAAAATTATATTTGCGTCATTGTTGATATAAAATAAATGTTGACATAGTAACTCATTTAATCATTTATCACTAACAAAATTATGTTTCACCAGTGTACGCCCATGCCATGTTTGTTTGTTTGTTTAACTCAGCAATCTGTACCAGATAATCCAGTGATTGAGATCATGAGCATCTATCTACGCAACTGGGACACGACGACATGCATCAACAACGTCAGCGAGCCTGACCACCCGATCCCTCTTACGACGAGGGGGCGGTCGGGTAGCCTAGTGGTTAAAGCGTTCGCTCCCCACGCCGAAGACCCGGGTTCGATTCCCGACATGGGTACAATGTGTGAAGCCCATTTCTGGTGTCCCCCGCCGTGATATTGCTGGAATATTGCTAAAAGCGGCGTAAAACCATACTCACTCACTCACTCTTACGACGAGCCTATAGTCGCCTCTAATGCCACACATGGGTTGCTGAAGTCCCATACTCTTCCCAGATCTTCACGGGCCTTACCTTGGAATGATAATGTCACTTAATTTTGAGGGGTTGGTCTTCAAAAGCTTTCAAAAAGGTTTATGTGAGACATGTGGAGGACATTTCCAAATTTGACGCACAAATGACAATCATTAAGTCCAATAGGGTATCCTATTTTGACTTGTACCATACTTGTGTATAAGTCCCTGTGTTTCTAGCGGGTGCACGTGCCTCCGCCGGGGAAAGATTCGCTCATCGTTTCCAGAACGCCCGGCGTCATCACTATTTGATAGTTGCTCACCAAACACATTTTCATGATATCGTCGGAATCATACAATCGACTTTGCTTTCAGCGGCTATTTCTTATGACTATCTTGTTTGTTTGTTTGTTTGTTGTTTAACCCTTCACTCAGCAATATTCCAGCTATAAGACGGCGGTCTGTAAATAATCGAGTCTGGACAAGACAATCCAGTGATTGACATCATGAGCATCGGTCCACGCAATTGGGATACGATGACATGCATCAAACCAAGTCAGCCAGCCTGACCACCCGATCCCGTTAGTCGCCTCTTACGACAAGTTATGACTATCTAAAGCGTTTTGTCGCTTTTATTTATACTGAACAAATCCTCTATAACGTCATATCAATAAGGATACAAAACACCCTTAGTTTCGATGAATTACGAAACAGCGTTTTTCTAATAAAGTTAGTTTAAAACATTTTGTCTAAAATGATTTAACATTATGCCTTAAGACATACAACAAATCTGTTTGTCTTTTCCCAGACGTGGTATGATATGCTCAAGCGTAAGACAATGTGAAAAAGAACGGAAAACAAATATGGTAAAATACCTGCACACACAAGGGAAATGATTCTGTAAAATATTTCCATAACATGACACTTTCATTATATGAAGCGCTTCCAATTTTCCCTGAAGCACTTGTATGAACTTACGACTTGTTTTTTTCTCCAGCCGGAAGGTTTTTAGCGAAAAAAATGTTATTACCTCTTCTAAGGCATTACATGTTCATGTTTGCGACGTTTTCATAATCGAATGTTATAGGGCCGTCGCAACTGAATCTTGAAGAAATATCTTTTTAAATTGACATATTTCCCATAAAGATGCCCCAAACCCGAGTTCTCCTCTCCTTGTTGCACAAACAGTTAGCTGGAGAATGTATTAGTCTTTAAATCTTTTCGTTGTTTGTTTTGCAAGATGATCAGTCACGGATGGCATATACTCTAGCTGTGACAGTCTCGGTTATCAAGACTGCTGTTATATGTCATCGTTCCTTTTCGGATTGCGTTGGCATGCGATATAGCTACTACTCCGACTACTTCATGACCATGTGTTTATGAATCGCTATCATATAGTGATGATACCAGGTGTTCGCGAAAAGGTGAGCGTATCCCGCCGCACCCGTCGCAAACACATGCAATGGCAAGTCAACTGTTCACCTGAAAAACTCGGGAAGCAATGTCGAAGATAGGTTTAACAGATTACTCAAATGAATTGACTCTAGACTGCACGTCCAACGACGGACAAATCGCAGGGAGTGCAACCCCCTCGAAGTCATCGCGATCATAACCATCGAAAATATATGACTGTTTGGACCCGAAGATACTTCGTCGTCACGGGTGACCCAGTCGTTTAAGGCGCCGCGATTCGCTCTGCAGAGTTGCGTCCCTTGGGCATGCCAGAAACCTATGATTGTGGGTTCGAATCCCGGATCGCCCCGATTATGTTTCTAGGTTTGTCAGCACCATACCCGTGCTCGTGGGTTTCACCGGAGTGGTAAACGTCTGAGACCTGCATCACTTCGGGCTTTCCTCCCACGTTAAGCTGACACGCCGTGATATAACTGGAATAATGTTAAAAGCGGCGTTAAACACAGCTCACTCACTCACTCACTCACTCAAGACGTGCGGATCACTCACCTGTAATTTGGAGCATGCTGTGTAATCTGTCCAGGGTTTGTTGGGCACTTTGGGATGACTGTACCACTGGCCATTGTCCATGCATGTTTTACGAGCAAAGGCTGAAAAAGCAAAGGTTACCGTCAGGCAAAAACTCTTTCTTATGAACATTGTGAGAGTGGCGGGTGCTACCGGTAAATCAGGAATTGCTTACTGTTTATAGAGAACACCTTGTGTCTTCACTTATTTTCAGCGATCCTTTCATAAATGTTTTATCACGGTTTTGCCTTTTGTAGCCTGTGGAATCACTTTCGGCAAATAGTCGAGACTGACGTCGACATTTTGATATATATTCACCACATTTGCCAAAATTGTTATGACCAGTTGGCAAAACGATCCTGACACGTTCATTTCCATCATAACTCGATAATACAGCATAAGGTGTAGGGTACCTCAGGCTCGCTGACATGGTTCATGCATGTCATCGATCCCACTTGCGTGGATCGATGCTCATTATATTAATCACTGGATTGTCTGGTCCAGACTAGATTATTTACAGACCGCCGTCATGTAGCTGGAATATTGCTGAATGCGGCGTTAAACAACAAACAAACAAAGTCAGTTACCAAAATTTCAAAGAAATGAAGTGAGTGAATGAATATTGCTAAACGCCGTATCTGCAATCTTGCAGCTATGCTCGACTCACTGGAATATAAAAACCACAAAACCCTTTCCATATTCGCCAAAGCTCACCACAGTGTGAAAGAAAAGCCAACAAACACAGGTCAAGACTAATATGTCACACGTATGCAAAACAACCTAGATATGCCTAGAAAAGGCTCAAACCTTTCTGATATACTCTCGTACATATTGCTGACTGGCGCGTAAAACACAATTTACTGACTCACTTGCCCCGCGCACTCTGTCTTTCCATTTCTGTCTCTGCGGATTTGTTTCTGCATGAGATGATTAATCGACAAGACAGTAAGAGACATGTTCTTTGAGCACATCATAAATATCTCAGCATCTCGCTCTCAGCAGAGTGACAGGTCCAAGATGACACACTACTTACAGTGTTCGGGGCTTTTAATACACGGCGGGCATACCACACGCTTCGTTGGGCGATCGAGTCTATCCCCAAAACACATATGTTTATCCGCTGAAAAAGCAATTATTTGTGTGCGATGCGACAGCTTATTATGAATCATGTGGCAGGGAACTCAAGGTTGAGATGCTCAAACTGAAAGAGATCAAAGTTTTTATGTGTTTTGATCATGATATTGTCGGTTTTAAAAGTAGATACTTTGATCGTTTTTGCATGGAAGTTAAAAGTTCACTGGTATTTAAATTGATTGATGGTAGACTTTATAGATGTTTTAAGGATTTCGAATGTTTTTCACAAAAAGAAGAAATGTTACAGTTTCTTACACACTTCATGGTGAAACAGCCAGGCTACTTTTATGCCCGTGAAAGATGAACGGCAGCTTGAAAGAGACACGTGGTTTTTTGTGCACAGTAAGAAGCTTCATCAATATTACATACATAGTTTTTGTTTTTATTTACAGGTATCATTATTTAATGATGTTGCTGACGGTTATATACTAGCCACATAAAGAAACTGTGCACGGAGAAAATATATTCTGGATTGAAATACAACACAGCAAGAACAAAATGATGCAGACGCTGTAGCAGCTGAAAGATCGGACCATAAGAAAATGTCAACGGGACCTGAACAACATCTGTTACGATGACGTCAGAAGATCAAAATGGAGTAGGGGGTCATACGACAAAGTCACAAAGTCAATAACGGGTATGACCACCCTGTGCGTGAATCACAGCAGTGCATCGGCGACGCATGGAGTCCACCAAATGGGCATGGAAGGCCTGGGGAATGGCCTGCCATATCCTCCTCAAATCCTGTGCCAAGTCACGGACGTTATCTGGAGGATGTGGAAGACGACGCAGACGGCGCTCCATTTCATCCCACACATGCTCTATTGGGGAGAGATCTGGAGAAACTGCAGGCCATGGCAGTAACATGACATTGTTATGGTGAAGGAAATCCATTTCGACCCTAGCCGTGTGAGGACGAGCGTTGTCCTGTTGAAATGTCAATCCCGGGCCATGACGTTGCAGGAAAGGAATGACCACAGGCCTCAGAATCTGATCTCTGTAGCCAACACCGGTGAGATTGCCCTGAACAACCACCAAAGGGGTTCGGTGCCGTGCTGTTATCCCACCCCAAATCATCAGAGAGCCACCTCCAAAACGATTCCTCTCCACAATACAGTTGCGTGCATAACGTTCTCCCAAACGCCGGTAGACACGTTGGCGCCCGTCACTGTGGGAAATGTTGAACCTCGATTCATCTGTAAAGACAACATTTCTCCACCATATTCGAGGTTGGCGAACATGATTTCGACACCATCTTAGACGGTTGACTCGATGACGGTGTGTCAGGATGGGACGTATGGCAGGGCGTCGTGGTCGAATCCCGTACTGACGTAAACGATTCCTGACAGTGTTGGGATGGATACGGCGCAGTCCAGGAATTGTCTGGGACGTCGTTACTGCCGTTTGGAACCTGTGTCGGAGATGTGTAACTCGAATCCATCTGTCCTGTCTTGGCGTCGTTACTCGGGGACGTCCTGAACGTGGGTGGTCGGCAACGTCATTTGTGTTCTGATAACGCCTCACAAATGCCGATATCGTGTTACGATGGCATTGGAAATGTGTTGCCACCTGTTGTTGCCGCATTCCCGCTCGGATCATTCCAATGGCTTCATGACGCTGTGCAGCTGTCAATCTTGGCATGATTTGCTTGTGATGTGCTTGTGTTTGCGCCTGAGAAGTTTTGAATGACCACAGATCATGCTTTCCAAAGTGACAGCGAATTTTGAGTTGCACATGCTGTGTACAGCTGCACAGGATGCACGTGCAGTAACACATTGCACGTCCATAGGCCCCCATCAATGACGTCATATCGCATGGCACGTGCATGAGCGTTTGAATGTCTCCAATAATTGCTGTGTTCAAACCTATATTTCATATCTGGACGGTGTGCCCTTATATCTATATTTTCTCCGTGCACAGTTTCTTAATGTGGCTAGTATATTTGAGACTAAGTTGAACTTGGCATGGACAAACAGGCTAACTCTAATGATATTTTGACTTAAAACAATAAACACAAACAGAGACGCATACACCGCACACGCATACCGTCACACACGCCGAAACCAACGCCTAATCAGAGACGCATACACCGGACGCCTGAAGATCCGGGTTAGAATAGGCCTCCAGCAACCCATGCTTGCCGTATAAGTCGACTATGCTTGTCGTAAGAGGCGACTAACGGGATCGGGTGGTCAGGCTCGCTGACTTGGTTGATGCATGTCAACGATCTCAATTGCATGGATCTATGCTCATGTTGTCAATCACTGGATTGTCTGGTCCAGGCTCGATTATTTACAGACCGCCGTCATATAGAGTCGATTGTAGCTGGAATATTGCTGAATACGGCGTTCAACAACAAATAAGCAAACAAACAAAGCATACACCGCACGCGAATATCGTCACACACACCGACACCGAGAGACGCACAATCCGCTACACAGAACGACTTACTCTGTATCTACTAATGGGCGGTGGGGTGGCCCAGTGGTTAAAGCGTTTGCTCGTCACGCCGAAGACCCGGGTTCGATTCCCCTCATGGTCAAAATGTGTGAAGCCCATTTCTTGAGTACCCAGCCGTGATATTGCTGGAATATTGCTAAAGTGGCGTAAAACCATACTCACTCACTCACTGTACCTACAAGGAGTATTATTGTATTACGACATATTCCAGCCCACATCGGACTCGTTGTTCAAAGGCGGCATATTAAACAACCACGATAAGTAATTCTATACCTAAATTTAAATGTCTCACAAGTACAGGACAATAGGATGACTAATATATGGTTTAGTTATTCAGTAGTTTTAAATCATAAAACCCATCCGGCAGCGCGTTTGCTATTCAGCTTTATGTATAGAAAATATGTAAATAAAAACTAAAATCTAAAAAGAAATATGATTTGTAAAATATAATCTTTTATTTTACTCAATTCCACACCATTCCATTGTATCATGCACCAAGGAACTTATGTGTACGTACATGATTAATATGAAACCTATGAACATTGGTGAAAGCCATCATGTTTCTCAGGCGACAGCTGACAATTATCTCAGCCCAGCTATCCTCTGTGATTCTCATCACATAATTTGTGTGACATCTAGTCGGAGAAACGAGTAATTACATCTAGATCTCGCCGTGACGCCTGTATTATGTTGTGCCATTGGTAAAGACATACAGAGACCACGAGTGAACGTCTCAAAGCAGTTACAGAAATTTTTTTATTCCGTCGCTTACAAATACGTCTGCTAACAACACATTTCCCATTTGCTCACAAAAGATACAACCTTGAAGAGCTGGGTTGGAATTAGTCTTCAGCAAGATTTGCTTGTCGTCAGAGGCGACTAAAGCGATCGTCAGGCTCGTTCTCAGACAACTTGACACAATTGTCAGAGACAAGTGTTTTCAAAAAAGCGATACTAAAATTAGGGTACACAAGTAGCACCAGTACACTAAGACATCACGAGTGAGTCGTTTTGCACAACCATTCAGTCACATGACAGCATGTGAGAGTATTTTTTTGTTTGTTGTTTAACGTCGCACTCAGCAATATTCCAGCTATATGGCGGCGTTCTGTAAATACTCCCCTTAGTCGCCTCTCTCGATAAGCATAGTTGCCTTTGACGGCAAACATGGGTTGCTGAAGACCTATTCTACCCCGGATCTTCACGGGTCAGTAAACAAACAAATAAGTGTCTCATCATGAATAAGTCCCGTGAAGATTCCGGGGTAGAATAGGTCTTCAGTAACCCATGCTTGCCGTAAAAGGTAACTATGCTCGTCGTAAAAGGCGACTAACGGGATCGGGTGGTCAGGCTCGCAGACTTGGTTGATGCACGGTCATCGATCCCAATTGCGTGGATCGATGCTCATGATTTCAATCACTGGATTGTCTGGTCCAGACTCGATTATATACAGACCGCCGTCATATAGCTGGAATATTGCTGAGTGCGG